AAGAAGGATAAGCCTACAGGATTGATACCGAAAAGTGAATGGTGGATGACGTATGCTGATTGGACTAGAGCAAAGACGTTAATGCTAAAATATTTACGTCAAACTTACTTTCATGTGAAATTTGCAAATGAGTAAGTTGGTCATCCCATTTAGACTTTGATATCAGAGAGATCTAATGAAACTCTCAAGTTTGGAAAAGCACTTTGATTACGTAGAAAGCTTGAGCTTAAGACACGGCTGGTTAACAGCCTTTCGATATGATATCTCAGTTCGAACGGATGTAATGTGCAATAGAGTCGACGGAGCACCTGGAGATCCTAAGATTCCAAGAGAAATCTTTTTAGAAGAAGCAAGAGCACGTACGGATTTGTTAAGAGACGGTAGAATAATCTTATTAGACAATCGTACATTAGTCTACTTTAATGTCTAATCGTGAACGGAAAATTGACACGAATTTTAACAGCTTATGCAAAGGGAAATGTTCAAGAGCGATTCAACCCCGTCACAGGTAGACAATACTCAGACGGTTTAAACCACGATTCAGTTGAAAGCGTGTTAGAAGATAACAAAAACACAAGAAATAACAATGCCTTTAACCAAAACATCAACAGCAACAACTATTTAATGCCATTGCAAAGAAACGATCAATTTAGGAGAAATGATGGGTTTCAAGTTAACAGAAGAAACAATAGGCGAAACATTAATAGAGAAAGATCTCCAACACCTTATCAAAGATTTGACAAACCTAAAGATAGATTTGTGCCTAATAATAATAAAGGTAAACAAGTAGATAGAACTCAGTTTTATAGAGATGAAGAACCAAGGCAATCTACTTCAAAAGAGAAACAAACATGAGCTATAAGTCAACTTGTGTCCCTGTTTATTACGTATGATTATTTGTATTGCGCTGTGTAACTCGAGATTTGTCTACTATATGTTATAGAATTAGTAAAGGAAACATTGTTGAAATGAATCATCCCACCTTTGTTGCAGTTCGATAGGGGATTTCACTTCGAAAACAATGTTGAAAAAGATAGGGACTTCACCAAGACCCCTTTGGCCAGCTGCCGTGAAGTGTAACATGAATATTCCAATATGGAAAGACCAATTGATTAAGTATAACTTGATAGAAAAATTCGGTTACTTATTGGAAGGTTTTGAAAAAGGTTTCCATCAAGGGATTCCAACACATCGAATTAAAGACTGGGATTTTTATTGCCCTCCAAATCACAACTCAGCTGCAAATGCAAGGAAGAAAATAGAAGATAGTATAGAAAAAGAGGTCAAAGCAGGTGTATGGACCATATACAAAAGAAGAAGTTGTTGAAAATTTAGGTTTCTTTAGAACGAATCCCCTAGGAGCAGTAGAGAACGCAGATGGCACGTTTCAACCAATTCACGACATGTCTTATCCAAAGTTCAATCCAGAAATCCCGTCTGTCAATTCATTTGTAAATAAAGAAGATTTCGAAACTACGTGGAATGACTTCAAGTTGGTAGCTATGTTTATTAGAAATTTAAAAGTAGAAATTCAAATGGGTATCTTTGACTGGGAAGGCACATATAGGCAAATCCCTACTCACCCTTCCCAATGGCCATATTTGGCGATAATGGACTTTAACAATAGAATATTTATAGACGTGATGATAGCCTTTGGAGGCGTGGCTGGTTGTGGTTTGTTTGGAGGACCAGCCGATGGTTGGAAAGAGTTGATGAAAGCGGCTTTCAGGTTATTAGAGGTTTTCCGCTGGGTAGATGACAACTTGATGATCAAGTTAAAGTCAGATACAACAACGATGGTTCAAATAGTACAGGCAAGCAAAGAACTTGGAGTAAAAACGAACGTCACAAAATACGCAGAGTTTGCTGATGAACAAAAGTTCATAGGGTGTATATGGAACTGTGTGTTGAAGACGGTGAGGTTAACGGACAAGAAATTATTGAAACAAAAATGTGATATCGACCAGTTCCTCGTTAAGACGACCATCACCAAGAAAGAAATGCAGAAATTCAACGGAAAACTAAGCCATCTTACCTTAATCCTGCCTCAACTCAAATGTTACCTAGTCGAGGGTTTCAGCTTTGTGGCATCTTGGAGATCGCCTGGGAGAAGAACTATCCCTGACTATGTAAGAGAAGACGTCCTCTTCTGGAAGTCCTATTTGGAAAACCTCAACCCAACCAAGCTAGTCCCAGATCACGTTATAAAAAATGTGGGCTGGGTCGGCGATGCGTCGACAGATTACGGTATAGGCATAATTATCGGCAAGTCCTGGTCGCAATTCAAATGGTTGCCTGGATGGGATGAACCTGCCGGAAGACCTAGGCGGACTATTGCCTGGGCGGAAACAGTCGCCGTAAGATTAGGTATTTTAATGCTGAGAGAGATGAACCTATCGACTGGCGTGGCAGGCTATCGTTTCTCCTGCCTGACCGACAACACAACAACGGAAGGCGCGGCGAGGAATAGGAAATCACGAGACTTCTGGGTGAACCAAGAATGGAGGATAGTTCAAGATTTGTTAATTGAATGTGATTGTGACATAAACCTAGTGAGAGTTACTTCAGCGGATAACGAGGCGGACAAACTGTCCAGAGGTCTGAAACCTTCAAAAGGTCTACACAATCTCGTGGTAGTGCCCATCCCAACTGATCTCACACCACTTTTATCACAGAACTTCACCTTTGAAAACATACCAAAATGACAACGTCTACTAACGATGACTTCAGCCAAATCAACGCTTCGGAAGACTGGCCCCTTAACTTCTCGCCCTCTAGACACAGCGAGCGAGGTAATGCTAAAACACGGCTGGGCCGGTTCAACTATCCGTCAATACGCGGCGGCAGTAAACAAACTCTTCTCCTTCATGGGAGAATCTCCATTTGCCTTCCCAATCACATCCGACGATGTATACGGTTTTGTCGTATGGTGTAATGATCAACAATCCAAAAATCCGGTACTAAGCGACACTACTAGGAGGTACCTCACAGGTCTACGTATGTGGCATTGCCTCCACAACGTACAGTTCCCTAAAATTGATCCAGACAGACTTTGGATTATACTCAAGGCCTCGAAGAAATGCCAAATAAACATCACGCGGAGTCATCGATCCGGCCTCACTCTAGCAGACCTCGATTACCTCATCAGGTGTTTACCCGGCCGCACGCTACCAAACATCACACTCAGAGCACTGATCCTAGTGGGCTTTTGGGGGTTAGCCCGGCTGGGTGAACTCACCAGGCACGACGACCACCCTGAGGTTTTCATTCAAAGGAAAGATGTCAAAATTTCAGCCGACAATTCAAGCGCTATCATTAGGTTGCGACTAGCAAAGACAGCTGCACCTGGCGAATTGCAGCTCCTGCGTCTCACACGGCAACCAAATCGACTTGACCCAATAGCTTCCTTGCAAGACCTGTTACGAAGTTCGGACGGTTCACCTCACGATCCGCTATTTCGCGGGACTCTGGCGAGTCAACCTATGAGAAGGAATACGGTCCTTGCTGTTTTAAAATTCCATCAGCCGGTAGGCTGCCATTGGTCGGGTCATAGTTTGCGGATTGGAGGCGCGTCATTAAGAGCTAATTTGGGTTGTTCTCTGTCATCCTTGAGACAGGTGGGGAGATGGAAATCATTGTCCTACAAGAGATACGTTAAAAAGTACTCCAAGACCTTGTTGCACGAAACAAAAATGTTGGCTAATGATTTACGCCTGTAATTATTGTTATACTGCCTGGAAAATCTAGTGTACCGCTACTCTTGCTCCCTTGTATGATTTGACAACGCACATTGCCTGCGTATTTTCGTCTCCTTAAGTACGGTCATAAGTCGCGTGTGGGAGTGTTCTCCATGGTGCTCGTCTCTACGAGGACGGGTTTCGAGTCCCTTCGCAGGGACTTGGCTCTCCGAGCCTTTGCTCCCTGTGAGCGGGTTCGAAAGGACCCTTACCCGTCCCGTAGTGACTGTTCTCAACAGAGATCATGACAGACGTCCGTTCATGACTAAGTTCAAGGCTGCCACAGATACGGTACTGGTATCATACCGGCGATACTAGTACCGTATCTGTGATCAGGATACCTATAAACTCAGTATCCGATATCGTACCTGGCCCACAGTACGGTACTAAGTACCGTACCGTAGGTCACGATACTGTTTTCACCCAGAGTGGATGCCGTATCTTCCCAAGCAGAGAAGATACGGTACTATACCGTATTGTGAGACACCAGAACGGTACGGTACGATAACGTATCTTGCACCGACGTTACTGTACCGTACCGTGCTTTGGCAGAAATTCCGTCTTTTTTTGTTTTTTTGCAACCATATGACATGTATTTCAAGAAAATAAAGAGAAACAAATGAAAAAAGAAAAAAGAAAGCCACTATAACGCTTCATTTCCTCCTCTCTCGCGCAGCCTGGTCTTTTGCAATACAATCCACCATCATAGGACCCCGGTATGCCCCTGTGAAGGGTAGTCACACAGAAAAGTTCATTTTGAGCGCTCGCGTGGCCCCGTCTCTGCAAAATTCTTAAGTCAAATTCCTATTGTAACCCATAGCTTAAGGGTCCTCCCTCGGAAAGATTTTAAAGTACTTTTGTACAATCACTCCAAAGGATTTCTCGACTCTCAACAAACAAAGTGATCACCTTGTGCGTATAGCTCTGGACTCCGATTCATCCGATCTCGTTCGCATGAAAATCAAATCGGAATGAAGACTTCAACAGTGTCTCTTTGACCAGTTTATGCTTTGTGTATCTTGCGGTTCTTTTCTTCTCTTGGTTTGTTCGTTTTGTCGATTGTTTTCTTACTGAATTTGTAGGACTTTTTGGAAGTCATATCTTTCCTGTTCTTTGTTCAAATGTAATCACAATTCAAGTCGATAATGAAATCATAAGAGTAATCAAAAAGTGTCGTAAGAGTGATTGTTTTCTTAACCGAAATACATGCTTTTAAGGTAGGAAGCATATAAAAATGTAACATATTGTTATCTAATGTACAGATCACAAGGAATTTCCTGCAGCTTTCTTCGCTCGTTTCTGATACAACTTTTTAGGTTTTTTGGGCAGGAAGAGACTCTGCCACGCAGAACAAGTCGATATAAAGTTAACAAGAACATTGGGGACTTGATAGAGACCAGGTTCGATGTAGATAAAATCTGAGTCATCACCTTTTGGACTGTAGAGGTAGACAATGAACTTTGCAGCCAGATGACTGAAAGTCCATTCATTTGGTAAGTCTGGCTGATGAGCAGCGTGAATTGTTGTTTGACCAGGGCTATATCGGTAAATCTCCAATGAGACGTAGGAGAGCTTGGTGCGCGATGAAGACTCAGGAACCCAGGCGTGCTTGCCTGAGTGATGTTCGAAGATGGCAAGAACACGACCTAGATAGAAGTACTACACATGTCAAAACTGGTGTCAATTAGTGGGAAACAGGTTATGAGAGTTGAATGTAGACGCTCACGCCTTGCTTAATCACTACAACCCATTTGTTGTTTGTGATTGGTGTTTCGGCTGTGATCGCACCGGCTCCAAGCTGTTGATCTTGCGGTTCTACCTCGATTTGGCCTAGTCCCTCTACACATTCAAATTGTGTGTCGAGATCGTCTACGTTTACTACAGTGTCTAAGTTGGTAGGCTTGCGTTTGCCGAGAGTTTTCCAGCGGTGTTGACGGGCTTCACTGTATTCTGGATTGTCCTCTGATCGCCAGTAAAATGAAACTGCTTTGCTATATTGGCTTGGTGAAAGTAACTGATGGCCGGTGTCTGGGTCGTATTGAGGATCAGGCAAATCTTTTGATACAACACGTGGTCGCTCTGGCCCGTGGTGATTTTCAACTTGACTGTCATGAGCGTGTCTTTCAGATGCCATGTGAGTTGTATCCAAATCTCCTTCCGGTGTCACCAAAGGTTTGAAGAAACTTGAACAGTTCGAATTCGGATCTTGTAGCTGATTGGGATCCGCCTGTTCAGTAAGAATATTGATAGGTGCTTCGAGTACTAGATCTTCCAGTTGTTCTGTTAGCTGAGACATCACCACATCAGCTTCCTGATGTTTGCTCGTCAGTCTGGCAGCAGTTTCCAATGCCTGCTCAGCACTCATTTTTGATGGGTCGAAAGGATAGTCCAATTTCGAGCGCTTGTGTATTGACACAGAAGCATCTTCATGTTCTCCAAGGGCCTGTTCGGACACAGATTCTTGGAGTGGCTGAGACAAACCATTGCCAATTCCAGCAAAAGTCGCTAGTGCTTGGGCTGAAGCTTCTGTGATTTTGAGCAGGTCACGAATTTCATTGTCACTTGGGTAACAAGTGAGGATGTAAGTATGATTGTGTCTGTTGTCATGTGAGAAATCGTGCTTGTAACCTATGCAATCCATGATTAGCTTCCTAGTAAAATACGTGAGGATACAAAAACAAACTTGCCTGCATGTAAATTCTCACTATTAGGTATTGAGATGTGTCCGCTCATGACACTCTTGATAACAGAAAATATCTTTGGCATCATCTGCCTTGCGTCCAATATGGTGAAAGTAGGTGAAATCACCCGCATCCATCCAAAAATGTGCTCGCAGCATTCAGTTCCATGCTTCCAGGGCATCAGTGGATGAGTTGGGTACCGGTCGCGATGGGAAATGATAAGTCCTAAAAGACTCTCTCCAAGTTTTTCAAAGATGCGAATGCTTTGGTGTGAGATGCAGTTCGAAGATAAATTCATCAAGTTTCCAGGTTCCTTCTGACGTCGAAGTAGATAAGCCTTCCACTTGCGGACAAAGAAAACTGCTGTGTAGCTCGAGATAATTCTTGCTGAATGTGGCATACTTTGATTTAACCACGAATCCACAAGTTCACCAAAGATGTAAAGATATAATACAAGACCAATGCAATCTGGTTCCATACAAGCAGCCTTGAAGGTACTCTTGCTGAAGGTTCGGTAAGCACGTCCATCGTCTTGTTTGTGGGTGTTCAGGATATCCTTGTAGCCCAGTGGTGACTCATTAGTTTGAAGTAAGATACGTAGCTGGTCAAGGTTGACATTGAACCTTCCAAAAGCTAATAAACGAGCTCCAGAAAGCAGCTGATTTGAAGCTGTCTTCCGAGCATGCTTTGGATCTTGGACTGCCACAACCGGTCGTTTTGAATGCCCTAGAAGTGGAACATGTATGCTGACTGCGAGTTCAGGAGCTGAGAACTGTAGATATTCATCTGCACATTTGACAAGTTGCTCTTGTGCAAGCACTTCTGATGCAGCACCATCAGACCCCAAGGAAAGCAGCGGGATTCCAGCTTTTTCAAGTAAATCAAGGAATTCGAGATGTTGAGCCATGATATCCTCAGCGGACTCGTCCTCGTGACTAGCAATCAAAGCCACTACAAAAGTGGGAACATTTGGAAGTGGTACCTGTAATGTATATGCTCGGATCTGAGGAACTAGGAGTCAGTTTTGTTCATTTGTGATTGAGAAGATAATCCCATAGAATAATATAGACTGATCCTTGAACACAGACCTTTTTGCACAGACGATCTCCCTCAACTACATCCGTCACTACAGTTTTTAAGTGATTGAGATCAATGATCTTGATATCACCACCTTCCAGACCAACTAAGCACCCCTCATTGTAACGAAGTGCCTTAACACACACGGTTTGGTCAGTCCCAGCTGAGATAGGACCATCGTATCCAATACGCTTTAACCAAGAAACAACTGGAAGGATGTTATTAATGTGGAATCCGTCAATCATCCGAGCCCTGATCCTCTGGCGTACTGCGCGAAACCTACGAGATGAGCGACCACAGAGGTTCGCACGGAAGAGCTCAAGAGCTCCTTTAGAGTATGCTCCAGCAGTGGTGAGCATATTGTCGAGGTACTCGTTAAATGGCATTCCTCGAGTGCTTCGACCATTAGATTCACGTTCGGCCCGAATGCCAACACCCTCTGCCACACCTCGAAACACAGGTAAATCCTTGAAAAGTCCAGCCCGGGCATGTACAGCAAACATAGTCCAGAATTCCAGGTCTCCAGCTCGTGTTGACCGTTCGAGTGACTGGTATAACATCCTTAATTCATTATACCGTGTAAGCAAGTCAAAAAATGACCCTCCATTCATGAAGTTCTTTGCGATGAATCTCAGACTATCATCGGTTGCATAGCCTCGATTGATAGCTTTTCTCAAAGATGAAAGTTTCTTGAGCTCCAAGCAAGGCTCACAGACCTCAACAGCATCAGGATCTAGAGTCGGAACCCTTTGAGTACACTTAGTCGAATGGATCGAGGCCTGGCTCCCGTCTCGTTTGATGATCCATGTCGATAAAGATGAAAGCTCTTCATGTAACTTCTGTTTCTGACTATCTGAAAGCGAGCTCTCTACAGAGGTATTGAATAGTTTCATACATATAGTGAACCTAGGCGGATAACCGTGATATGGAGTACAAGAGTGCTGAATGCATCTTGATATAGGATGTTGTTCGGATTCAGGACGCTCCCAGGTCTCGTTGGTCAGGCCAGCTCAGCGAACCTCAAGTGCTTGTGGCTGAATGTTTGGACCATTCAAATTTGTTGGCCGATCCACAGCTCTTCGAAGCCTTGCTGTTGCCTCCTTACAAGTCTCTACATTTGAGAAATCATTGGAGGTTCAGTACCTGGCAAATCCCGAGTCTCACAAGCTCACTAGCCACACTTACTCGTATCCCAGTGAGCTTTGGCAGCCATGATCCTGCCTCCTGACATCTTAACTGAATTTCCACAGTGACATCGTAGAATTTGATTGGCACCATCTTTTGTGAAGACACATTTCGGGCAACTCCGGCCATCGTCCGTTTTCAAAGGGCATCCCGCACGCCGTTTTGTGTCTTTGTTGGCAGCTCGCTCAGCAGATAATCTAGCTTTGGCAGTGCAAAAGAGTGGTGACCTCGAGGTAAGGGATCCTTCATTAGATGTTGTTGACATGGATGAATAAGGTTGGATAAGTTGAACGATAACAGAGTACACCACAAGCTTTGCAAGAATCCTCTCCAATTCATATGTAGACAAGCGTCTGGGATGGCAAAAACTAGCAATAACCAGTGGCAGAAACATGTGGTGTATGTACAACAAAATCTAAACCCATCATGTAAAATACCCGAAGGAGCTCAAAATGAACTTTTATGTGTGACTACCCTTCACAGGGGCATACCGGGGTCCTACCATCATCTCTTGTGCAGTTTCAAACTTGCCTTTCATCTGAACACCTTGTACTGACCACAAAAGTCCCCCAACCGTGCGCTCTATTGTTCATGGCTTGAGTGCCATCCTATCCTGTGAGCACACATCAGCTGACGCAGAGAATCCTCTCTCAACTGGACATGCGGTGGCACTGATAGCCAGGAAGTCGCGTGCAAGTGAGCTTAAGACTGGGTATTTGCCCTTGTTTAACTGCAAATACATTGAATGTGTATTAGATGAATCGATTCTATTGTGACAAGTCAATATTAGAGGAATGAACTGACCCTCCACCATTCCAAAGCCAAATGAGGGTTCTCGGCCACCTCAGGTGCAGGATCCTCAGCCATCTCTAAGTAGGATCGCAGTTCGTTGGCAGTGTTTCGGCGGTTACGCTCCTTGTGTTTGCGGAACTCTTCATCCTCTACGTTCAGCTTCTTATGTTCAACAGGATTAGCTGAGGCTGAATCAACTCTATCATTCTCAATTGTAGCCTTCCTTTTGCCATACTCTGATTCGATAAGTAGCTTCGCCAGAGTGAACTCTTGGGAACCGGTCCCAAAAGCAAAGTCGAAGTAATCCAATTGCAAGCATGGATGCAATACAGTCGCAAGGATGAGGATATTCAATGCCAGATCTTCCTTGAGGTACGACTTGACTCGCACCAGCATGGTGTGGTGCATGGGGAACAAGGGATCTGCTCGCGATCTGGTGGCGTCAATCTTCTTCTGAAGTGTCTTCTGGAGCTTGACATATTCACGTATCGCTAGGGAGGCAGTTGGTCCGCCTTGCTCAAAAAATTTGGTTAAGTTTTCAAACTCCTACAAAAATCAGGTTGATGTTAGTATTGGATGAGAAACTGAATGGATTACAGGAAAGAGATGGAACAGGATGACTCACCTGCAGAAGTTCCATGATATCTCTTACTTGTCTCCATTCGTCAGGTGAGATCATGACCTTGTTGAAAATCCCTTGGGGGCAATTGACATCTGGAGGTCACACAGTCTCACCAGCTCGACTGGTTTGACCTCGGCGAGGTTGTTCCATCTGGTCTTCTTTCAGAATTTGATTGATCACCTATATAAATGATAGATGGGCAGTGGTTGGAGATTAGTTTTTGAGGCAAAGTGATAGAAATAAGATATGTGGTAATGGACTTACTTCGCGGGCGTTGTATAGCCAATTCCAACACTGAAGTTTGATATTCCATCGAATACCATAACCAGGGATTGGCCTTGGCAGCTTCTGTTTCAAAAGAGCCATGCTGACGGCGTCAAACAGCATACACATAACGGCTGAACCACCGATTTTACGCCCTACGACGTCAAGCTATGGGAGCAGAGGATTTTTTGTTAGTCTTTCATGGAAGTGAAGTTGATATTGAACTGAGTAAGTTAAGTAAGTTTACTTACTTTGGTTGTGAGTAAGTGGACAGCATTCGCTGCGGTCCTGTCCGTAGCAGAGAGATCTTCGATCTCATGTGGTCCATCTATCACCTCATACCACTTAGGAGGCTCTTCAAGGACACCCATATCACCATCGTCCACTTCATCGTCGGAATCAGATTCAGCATCGGAAAGTCGGTCGCCTTCACCACTCTCGTCTTCTTCAATAACAGTCTGTAGTGTGTTGGTCGGGACTGGGAAATCGCCCAGCATAGTTGATTTGACCAGAGGTGGGGGAGGCGCCTGGATTCCAAGTGCTTGGAGACCAGCGTTGACAATAAGAGAGAGTTTGTGACATACGCACCGGACTCTGTCGGTCTGAGCACTCCAGTCAAAGTCTTGATTGTGATCCTGACAGTATTTGGTCAATCTGACTTCCATTGCCTCCGCCAGCGTATTGTTATTACTGCCGGAGTCGTGGGTCTGGGCTAGCATGTGGATATAAAACATAAAAATTAATGAAATGCAAAACAGAAAAAAAATCGAATCAAATGTTAAGAAGAGAAAAGGCTTATCTTAGTATGCAAGCCGTGTTTTGTCAAAAGGTTGATTAAAGGTTCAGCCAGCCATTCACCTTTGTGGTGCCAGGCTATGAGTTTGAGGGCAAAGTGTTGTGTCACAAATTTCCAGTCGGCGGTGATGTATGTGACACAGGCGCCGATAAAACCATACCGGTTGCCTTTGGTTGTCCAGGCATTGTGGATGAGACCAAAAGAGCTATTGAGGTCCTGACAGTGAAAGAGAACAATCAGTGTCAATGAAGAGTGATTAAAGATTGTTCAGGGGAAAGAAATGAGACTGAGCTTACCTGTAAATCGCCAATTACTACAGCTCGTAATTCAAGGTAAGCCTCATGAGCAAACCTTGCAACCCATGTCCTTCCAAACAATTGAGCATTCGGATTGCAATAACGGAAACAAGCCCTTAAATAACAATCCTGCACACGAGCCCAAGGTTGGGCTGTTCTAAGTACCCACATTCCAATCATTTGATTCAAAGTTCGGTTGTCGAACTTGGGAACTTTCTGAGCGTAGGTTAAGATTGAAGTTTGTCCTTTTCTTGATTCAGCTTCTG